AATACTTGAGATTCGTAGATCTCAATTGTAGATGAGAATTTTGAGACTGAGCTATTTCAAGAAGATTGAATTCAGAAGGGGAATTCCCTAGTGTAATTTGAAAGTACTCTTAAGTGTCAGGATTGTGTGAAAGGGAGTGCCATTTTGTGAGCTTCAGAAGAAAAACATTTGAAACAAATGAGTAGGTGCAGGTATCTGCGTTGAGAGTTTCCTGAGACAAATTCTGTTCTATTGAACACTTTGACCAATGGCGAGAACCTACTAAAAGTCCTCAGAATGAACTAGACGTCCTTTGCGATAAGGTTTCTCAAGTGACTCATTAGGGGCAAACTGAAGAGGCGGAAATGGACTGTGCTGGGAAGAGCAGGAACTTTTGGTAGTGGTGGTGAAGTATTTGAGGGCCGCCAACATCTTTTCTGCCTTCCTCTTGAGGTGAAGCAAACTTAGCAAGGAAATGGCAGGGTAGAGAGCAGGAGGTTTCGGGGAAAGGCGCCCTGCCATTGCCCCCGATGACCACGCAGGCAGAACCACTGTGATTAACACTGTGAGCAGAAATAAGATGGAAGAGGAACATAAATACCAGCTGGGCAATTTTGAACATGAACCCAACATTCCACCCTGACAGAAAATAGCAGATGAGCCTCAAACTGAACCTCTAAAACTAAAAGTGATAGACGCAGCTGTTTGGAAATGAGTGGTGGACGTGCTGGGGCAAAGTTTGGCCCAGTGAACAGCCAGGTGATCTGGAAATGAAGGCGAGCCCCACATGTAAACATCAGGCTGCCCCTATTCTTAGAGAGCTCAACTATAGGACAGAAGTGGATGAACTGGTGTTCTTGATGTGGCACGGCAGAAACCAAGCTTACTCCCTTATGCTATCGTCATTGTATTATAATTAACTGTTCATTTCTGTGTGTGGTAAACAACAATGCTGACGTGGTCACAAAATAACGAGAAGCATATGGGTCACGACTGGTTTTAACTAGAAACTTCTCTAAAGATTTATTTAGGTTCCTTAATTATAGAGAGGTTTGGAGGACTGGCATGTGGTTTCAGTTTGTAGTTATAAATGTTGGGGATGGGTATGTGCTAATGTTGCCAGAGAGGAAGGAGAACAGATCTAGAAGAGGATTTGTGTTCTCAGGGGACCTCCCTTTGGTCATTTAAAAAAAAAAAAAAACGAAGTCAGGATCTGTGTTTGTAAGAGGTAGGTACGATGATATTTATACTGCATTTGAGATGGATGTGTCAGTACTACAGGCCAACTTTCCCAGTGCTGACATACTTTAATTGGTAAATTTTCATGTCAGCTTGAAATCGGTGTCTCTCTAGTGTTCTGAAAGAATAAGTATCTCTTTTAGTCTTTATCTTATGCCAATATTATACTCTCCATTAGCCCTGTTGTCAGGGACAGCAGTTAAGCAGTTGGCCCTCTGTATCCATGGTTACACCGAACCTTGGATCAAAAATATCAGGAAAAATATATCTATGTTAACATGTACAGGTGGTTTTTATTGTCATTATTCCTTGAACAATGCAGTATTACAACTGCTTACATTGCAGTAACACTGTACTGGTGTTACGAGTAAGCTAGAGATGATTTAAGGTATATAGAAGGATGAGCACGGGTTGTGCATCTACTGCACCATTTTATATAAGGGACTTGAGCATTCTTGGATTTAGGTATCCAGGGAGAGTGGGGTGGAGGAGTGGCAGAAGGTGCTTGAAACAATCCCCATGGATATTGAGGGATGACTGTATTTTGAACTGGACAGATGGGGAAAAGTAAGTGTTTGATTTCGTTATTCTGACTTGCACTATACCCATGGCAGAGTCATTTGATGATATTCAGCTTCTGGTGTAGGGGGAGAGGAGTGAGATTTGTGTTCATTCAGGTTTAAAGTCATTTTCCATTGCTTTGGTCTAGTAGTGGTATAAATATATAGCCAAATTTAGTCCTGGGACTGAGAACAAAGGCCTATTTTAAACAATCTATGAAGAGTCCAGTAATATGTATGGTTGTAACATGCTTTTCTGTATGTCTTGCCAAAGATGATCATGAAAGTGGTATCTGAATTATTACCTGGAAGTTGGAGGAGTGGAAGGGGAGGAAGGCTAATAAGAAATCTAAATAATGCTTTCTTTCCCTGCATGAAACTAATAGAAGAAATGAATTTCTGAATGTTTGCCATTCTTCATGGAACTTTCTCTGGTAGTGATTTTTGCCCCCGCTTAGAGAGAATCCACTCATTCATGTAGTCATTTAGATCTTGGTATTGGTTATGGTTGTAACATGCTTTTCTGTATGTCTTGCCAAAGATGATCATGAAAGTGGTATCTGAATTATTACCTGGAAGTTGGAGGAGTGGAAGGGGAGGAAGGCTAATAAGAAATCTAAATAATGCTTTCCTTCCCTGCATGAAACTAATAGAAGAAATGAATTTCTGAATGTTTGCCATTCTTCATGGAACTTTCTCTGGTAGTGATTTTTGCCCCCGCTTAGAGAGAATCCACTCATTCATGTAGTCATTTAGATCTTGGTATTGGTTACATTTTATGCTTATAGCTCTGTGGATGGCACAAAAATGAACACATCTAGGATATGTTCTGTCTCTGTAGTCCCTTTTGCCCCACCCATGGGCAGTGGTCCACAGAGGGGAGCATTTGCTTCTACCAGGGAGGTGAGAGAATGCTAGAGAAGGCCAAGGCCACCAACCTACCATGGATCATGAGAAAGGATTTGGTTATATAGAGAATAGTTGGAAGGGCTTTGAAGGGATCAGTGTACACTTTTCATAAGAACAAGCTAAAACAATCTAGTATTGCTAGAAGACCCTTTTATACTCCTCTTGTGTGTCTTTCATGCATTCATACAACAAATGCACTTGGAGTATACTTTTCACCTGTAAAGACTCAGACTCATTGATGTGAAGGTTACAAGAGAAGACTAGGGATGGCTCTCCTCTAGGACCTCATAGTAGTCCAACCAGAAGATAAGATTTGCTAACAAATAATTCTGAGACAACATGGTGAGAGGGAGAATGTGGTTCGTGATGTTTCTGAGTTCTTGTTAGGGACCTCCTGAGAAAGGGGCTATGGGCTTCCTGTGTCCCCTATCAGGATGCTTTTTTCTTAAGGAGGCTAACATTTACTTTAAACAGCTGAATTGAATATTATATCTGATTAAGAATATAAGGACGTCTCGCTCAACTCCTGGCACATTGACAGTGCCCAGTAAACAGTCAGTGTTAATGCTTCCCCATGTCGTCCAAAGAAAAAACCAACATCCTTAACTGGTGCAGAAAGCCCTCTGTGGTCTGGGTGGCCAAGGTTAAACTCTTCTTGTATCCCAGTCCTTGACTGTCTCCTGCCTCCAGATTGCTGTCTCACTCACACTCCCCTGTCACCCTGTGATCTAGCCAAAATGCAGAGCTGCTGTGTGCTGGTGATCAAGTACAGGGTTCGCTTCTGGCTCCACTGTGCCACACTGGCAGTGTGCCCTGGCACATTATGTCTTTGCCTCTTGCCAGTCTTGTGAGATTTTAAATGATTAAACATAAAGAGTTTGGGGACAGTTCCACTGCATGGTAAACATGACTGTTAGTTGTCGTTTCTATCTTACCTTGCTGTTCCCCTGTTCAGCCCTGCCAAGTGGCTCCACATCACCTCTGTTGTTCTCAGTGTGGAATCTGCCCATTTTTCTCTGTAGCTCACCCCTCATCCCCTCTTCCTCATGCCTTGCCTGCAGCAACAGCAACATGGAATTGCTTGCTCAGAACTCCTTACCACAACCTGTCTCCATGATATCTTAACCTTTGTTTATGTCTAAAAGCCTTTTGTTTTGTGAATTCTGTTTTTGACACTATTTCTTCCACTTCTTGAGGACTATCTAACTCCAATCTCTACTCTCTTGAGTTCCTGTCTTGTTCTGCAAAGCTTTGCACACGTCTTTTTTTTCTTTTTTTCCCTGTACTGGGGATTGAACCCCAGGGCCTCACACATACTAGGCAAGTGCTCTGCCATTTGAGCTACGTTTTTATTTTGTTTTTGAGATAGGAGCTCACTAACTTTGTCTGGATTGACCTCAACTTGTAAACCTCCCTGCCTCTATCTCTGGAGTGGCTATCATTATAGGTGTACATCACCACTTTAGGCTTGCCCATGTCTTTATTATTGGGTTCAACATATTGTTTAGCCATTTCCTGTTTGTTTCTGTATTTGAGAACTCTTGAAAGAGACTGAGTGCTAATTGTCTCCGCATTCCAGCTTGTTCTTGACACATAGTAGACTCTTGTCAACAAATAGAAAGGAGGAAATTTACCTACCTCAAACACACTATCAAATTGTCAAAAGTATTTTTCAGTTAGGTTGAAGGGGCACCTTATTAGTGCATTTTGAGGAGGGGAAGGACTAGCCTTAACCTTCCTTGATAGGGGGCTCTCTGTCATTGCAAGGTAGGGTGAGAACTTGAGAGGCCTGGACTGGACAAGGGCCAAGACAAACTCAGTAGTGGCTGGTAGACCTTAGCAATTCGGTCTTTTATTGCAAAGGCAGTTCTCTATTTAGCTTCATGCTGGTAACACCAGCCCTTTGGTATTTTATAGCATTTTTCTAATGTTTGGAAAGATTTTCTTTTCATTATGCTGAAACTTCTGTGTATCTTAGCATGATCCAGTTGTGGATCTGTGATACAACATTTTCTCACTGGTTCTATGAATTACCTAGATTTTAATACAAAGAGCTATAAATATAGAATAAATAAAGCCTAGCTTTAGAGTATAATAATCAGTGCTGCCTAGTTAATAGAATACATGGGAAAAGCCACAAAGCATGGATTTATTGAATTGTTTATTGTAAGAATTTGAAGGAAATAAAATGTGAGGTCTCACCTGCTCTCTAAAGCAAATCAGTGTGGCTCTTTAAAGAACCCAGAATTACATCTGATAAACACACACTAACAAACTGAATCCTAAGAACTTTTGTTCCCTTCTCCCCTGCAGCTTTGCCCTATCAGATGAAGCATACAGATCCCTCCGAGATCAAGATAAAGACCAATGCATTCTCATTACAGGGGAAAGTGGAGCAGGAAAAACAGGTGAGGCCACCACCAAACAAGTTGACCTTCTCTGTGGATGGGAAGTGCTGCCCAGAAAGAAAATAGCAGAGGGCAGGTAGGGGCCTGACTGCAACACCATTACAGCTCACTGTGAGTTCTGCTTTGCAGGAGGGTTTGGTGAGATCAGGCAGTGTTCACTGGGGAGGACTGGCCTCATCTCTCATGTGAAGAGGCAAAGTATCATCAGGGAGTTCCAGCCAACATGGGGTCTTAGTGCTGGATTTAGATTCTTTCTAGTGAAGGCTCTAGGTACATCACAGATTTTGTTTTCCTTGAAGATACCAAAGCCTGTGGGGTCTTACAGAGTTGACCTCTTCCCCAGGGTGTACTAAACTGTTCTGCTGTTGGGAAGCCACAGTCACATCTTATCTAAGCTAAAAAGTGATAGAAGGTACCAGAAGTGCTTAATTTTACTCTAGAATCTTTCTCTGATCGCTAAAGGGTTGAGATTTTTCTGTTTTTTTAAAATTTTAAAAATTTTTATTTTAAGAGGTCTGGATAAGCGCTCCATAAAACAAACCTCTCAGTGGAGGGGTTATGTTTCTTTGCTCATAAAACCATTTTATCTGATTTGTGGTCTTGAGGGAGAAAGTGATTTTATTTATGAGGTCCAGTTACCTGGAAAGATTCAAAAAGATTCCACTCTCTGAATTCAGAGTTGGGAAGGTTAGCCACTGCTCACATTGGTTCCTTTGAAGGAGCTGGCGAGGCTGTGGAGGAGGATGAGGGAGAAAGCATTTTCATAGTGTTTCCTGTAAAGTACTTTTGTTTAACAGTTGAGAATCTCATGATTGGTTATTTCTTTTACTAAGCAGAGTGGGACTTTAAATGTTTCCACTTTGCATGGCAATTTACTTAGACTTAGACATTGTCAGTCTCTGTTGATCAAGAGAAGAAAATTCACTATTGATGATCAGTCACCTGACTAAATCCAGTTTACTCATAAGCTCTTAGGAAAGTTTATTCCTTAGAAGTCTCACTGTCTGCTTTGACCAGCTTTTCCTTCTATGCTTACTCCTTCCTCCCCTTTTTCTAAGAGTACTCTCCTCTTGCATCCCCTGTAGCTGAAGAAAGAATGGTAAGTGTCCAGGTCCTTTCCTTCGGCCCCTTGGAAATAATGCACCATTCCTCTGTAGATTGTGTAGGCTGTAGGCTTTGGATAGGCAGAAATGGAGGGAAAAGGATTGGCATGTAAGAATCTGAAGCAAAACAAAGCATAATATCATACAGTTAGAAAGGATCTTAGTTACAGACCATCCCATATCAATCTTTCACATGAGACAGCCAAACTCCTTCTGTAGTGTTGAAGGGCCCATGCTTTTGAACCCTACTGAATGTGTCATACAGGTTCAACTAACATAAGTTCTCACTCCCCGAGAGCTGAATTGATTTCTCTCAGTGCTGGGGATTGAACCCAAGGACTTCAGCACGACAGGCAAGCACCGTTACCACTATGCCACATCCAGCCCACTTAAAGTTGAATTGAATTCTGTGTCTACCTATTGGTCTTGACTCTGTTATCTGGAACCTTACCAAATTATTCTCTCTTTTTCAGGTTAGTCACTCACTCACTCAAGTGAGCCTGGGCCAGTCTTCGTAGGCTAAAAGTTCCTTGCCCTTACCAAGCTTGCGGTCTAGTGGGAGAGAGAAACTGTGGCAGTGTGTTACGCACGCATGCCATAAATATGCGCGCACATGCAGATTCAGTACAGAATATATGAGGCTGCTCAGGAGAACATGTAGCAGGAGAATCAGACCTTATTCTCAAGTTCCCCTGTCAGCATGGTTGTATTTTTCTGGAAACACCTTAATTTGTTGATACACCTCATAAATTTACACACCAAGAATAAATCATAATACTTCAGGCTTGGTCCTGATTGTGGTGGCATTACTACTTCTCTTAATGTGGACCCTAGACTTCTATCAATACTGTTCATGTGTTGACTTCTGATCATTGCGTCAGGCAGAATACTTACTGTAGGTTTTCTTGCACAGTTACTTCTGTTGAGTCAGATCTTTTCAAGCTAGTATAGTGATAGAAAGTATTATGAATCTACATGTGGAATCTTTTACTCATCTTTTTAAATTAGTTTTGGTCTGTTGTTAGACCTTCTTGAGCAGCTGAACAAATTCTGATTGTGCCCAATCCCTTAGGACTGCTGTCGTTCTATTAGGTAATCATAAGAATAGCTATCCTACATTGAGCTCTTACCATATACTAGGCATTATACTTAGTATTGTATTTGTATAAGAGCAGTATTTAATTATCCCCATTTTTATGATGGGAAAATTGAGCCACAGAGAGATTAAGCAGTTTTCTTAAACTCATGTAGTGAATAAGTGGGCAGAGCTGGAGTCTTAAATGAGGATAGTACAGTTCCGGAGTCCTGGCTTGTATCCACTCTTATTAAGCTGCATCTTTGTGCTTCTTTTTGTTTTTGTTTTGTTTTGTGTTTTGGTAGTACTAGAGTTTGAACTCAGGGCTTCACACTTGCTATGTAGGCACTTGAGCCTTTTTTGTGTTGGGTATTTTGGAAATGGGGTCTTGCTTTTTGCCTGGTCTAGTCTTGAGCTTCAGTTCTTCTGATCTCTGCCTCCTAAGTAGCTAGAATTACAGGCGTGAGCCATCAGTGCCTGGCATCTTGTGCTTTTTACCATGCTTATTTTTGAGTGCCATTGCCCATGTTAGTAAGTGTTCTTCAGCTAGCTTCTAATGTCTTTCTGAAGGAGGTCGTTTGTCTTATGTTGCTACATATATTTGAATGATGGAATGAATATCATCCTCGATCATTGTGATTTCTTCCTTTCCTGTATTTCACATATGAAATCCATTTCCTGATCCTGTCAGTTCTGTCTCTAGACCGTACCTCATGCTGTTCTGCTGTTCCTTTTCTTGATGTCCACATGGATATGGCAGTTCAAGCCACCAGCCATTATCTCCCTTAAGAACTATTCATAGCAGTGTCTCATAGGTCTTTCCTCTTGCATACCCTCAATCCTTTTTACAGATCCTCTTTGGCTATTCAGATCTCTTTTTTTAACTTGTGAGAACTTGAACAGGACATGGGGATCTTGAGAGAATGCTTTTAATCCTTCCTTGTCGCTGACCAGTTCTCTCTTGTGAAACAAATTTAATTCTTAGAAGCAGTATAGCCTCTTATTTGTCTCCAAGTTGACCAGTGAAGATAATCACTAATCCACGAAAGTACTTAAAATGTGGATGTGTTGTGTTACAGTTTTTTGCTTTTCACCATTAAAATAGCAAGGTGCTTTCATTTTGCATGCTGACTTAAGAGTTGTTTGTTTACTTGATTTGGTAATATATAATTACAGTTTTCAAAATTAAGGAAGATGGCAGCCAGGCAAGTTAAAAATTCTGTCCCTTATAGTATCTCATGTTTTCCAGACCTCACCCTATTTGATTATGTCTGCCAGTGTACCTGTTCCCTTTAAATATTTACTTGGAAGAAATATTCCTAAGTTTCTTAAATTCTTTAGTTTTTAAATTCAGTCTTCATGACTAATACTGTATGCTTTTTTTGAAGGTATTCTGATTGTATCAATTTGTTCCTAAGTGAGTCATGAGAAGTGGGTTACGGTCACTGGTTTGATTGGCCCTGGTCAGTTCTTCATCTCTTCTGAAGCATATGTTCCAAGAAACAGCATGTTCACTAATTAGCTCTGTCAGTGATGACATCTTCCTTCTCGGAGCCATTAGCTATACCACCTGCTTCTGGAGCCAGATTTCATCTCCTGGTGGGCTCATGTGTCTTCCTTAGTAAAAAACTGAGTGGAGGGGGTGTCTGGTGCTGTTTTATAGGGTTGTTCTTCACACTGTCTGAGAGAAAGCAAAAAACCAAATATCTCATTCCTTTAGTATCATGGAGTTTATCCTTTTTGTGAAGCTTGGTACTTTTCTGCTGAATAACTTGTCCTGTTGGTTTCAGTGCCCCAACCACCACTCAGAATCCCTTTTTTCCCCTGTCTGCTCCCTTGGACTTAGTCCTTCTTGGATCCCTTTGCCCTCTTTCATTAGCTGGAGGATGGAGGGCTTCCTTGCAGGACTGTCATTCTATTTCAGCATACAGGTTAAGGTGCTACTTCAGACAGGAAGTTAAGGAGGGTGCCACCCTGAGAACAAGGCTTCCAGATCCTCGCTGGTGAGGCGTCTGGTCACCTCCCTTCCTAACTGTTGCTGACTAGAGCAAGCAAAGTGGATTAAATGAAGATGTATGAAATCTAAGCTCTAATATTTCACTTTAGTTTCAATAGACAACAAACTTTCAAATTGTTAAAACTTGAAAGCTTACTTTCATGGGTAGATTAGTAGTAGTCTGTGGGCTGGCCATCTTTGAGCAGTGCCTACTTTGGATGGTACTTTGAATAACATTACCCAGAGAACACTTAAAGCATTTGCCTTGTTTTTGAGGTTTGTGCTTCCTAGAGCTCGTGATCATCTACATAAACTTGGATGCTTTAGCTTCCATTATCAGTAAACGTCCTAGTGCACAGTTCTGACAACATCACTCAGCTATACTCCTTGGCAGCTGCTAACTCACAAGCCCCTCTTTTCACTTACAGATCTCAACAGTATCTTCTACCACTCAACCCCCCATAGAGACATCCAGTGTTTTGCAGAATTATTCCTATCTTTTCTTTTTCTTTGGTGGCACTAGAGTCTGAACTCAGGGCCTCACACTTGCTAGGCAGGTGCTCTTACTGCTTGAGCCACTCTGCCAACTCTTACTCCTGTCTTTGTGCATTCTTTCTTTTCAAAACCAGTGTTAGAAAAATTGCTTCAAATTTGATTATGATTTTAAATTGTTACTATTGAGTAAAGCCTAGAATTTGTGTTGCCAGAAAGCTCTGTTTCATGAAGATTACTTATGGGAAAATGACGTGCTAGAAGATAACATAGAGATTGCAGCATGGTAGTATGAGGAATTTGCAGGGTGTGGTTTCCTTTCAACTCAGAGGGA